CTTCTTCTTTTCCACCTTGTACCTCATCGAAGTGTCTGGGGGAGATGTAATGTTCGTTGATGAGCTCTGTCAAGATCACTATTAAGGCAATTGTTTATTTCTGTAAGGCTGTTCTTAAAGCAGTCACTCTATCTTTTCCCAGGCCATCCAATCGCTCTATGTCCATTGTAACGTTTTTGTGTGGCTCGCTGTCGCAGATAGTACCAGGGCATTCTTGTTATGTGTCTAAACCCCTTCGCTCGTTGTTCTTTGATGACCTGTAAGACTGGCTTTATTCCTAGCATTCGTCTGAATTTGTGATTTCGTATTTTGCCTTTCCTTGAAACTCCTGTAGCTCTTCTAAGGCATTTAATCTCTGTTGTTACAATTTACGTTCATTGGAGGATGTAAGTGTCCACGTTTGGCATTGACAGCATTGTATTGCCCCCCCCCCCCCAAAAAAAAAAAATAATTAATAAGGTTAACTTTAGTACTCCGAGGTATCTGCTTGTGCGTCAACAGGGGAGATAGTAAGCCCATTAATTGATTAGCTTTGGCACATCTCGAGCTAATTTCTCTGTCCAGTTTTCCGTCGGATGTGAAAATTGCTCTCAAATACTTAAATTCCTCTGTCTTAATGTGTGTTTTAATTTTATTTATAATTTGTCTTTCTGTTTTCCTATCACTATTGTCTCTGTCTTCGTAGTCTTTATTTTCATATTATATTCCTCCCCTTTGTTAATAATTTGATTTAGGTGGTTCTGTAGACATTCCGTACTTTCTGCTATAAGTACTAGTCATCGGCGAATAGTAATTCTGTAATATCTTTTGCATGATTAAATGGAGTTCATGACACCAAGTGTTTGCATGTCTGTCTGGATATTATCTCTCTGATGCCAGTCATTAATGCTGATTTAAACAGCTTATGAATATCATTGTTGTTTCTTCCTCTCCATTCCCTGCGATTGCATATTTATTTGATGGGTTAAATGATTCGGCGTAGTTCTGCTGTATTGGGCTGCAACATTTATAACAATTAAGGCAATTACTAACAAACTATAAACATTCATTAACTGGTGCCTGCGCAGAGTAGAAGGAGGTAAATGGCACTATAGAATCACGAATGAAGAGCTAATTGAGAGAACTAAACACGTTTCAGTGGAGCAAGAAAAAACGCTCGCGCTGGTGAGAACTCACGTTTAGAAAACATGACAACAATATAACTAGAGTAGTGTCTTTGCACTGAAACCCATAATGTCGCACAAATAAAGGAAGACCAAAACATGGACGAGGGAGCTAGAGAGTAAAGTTAAAACGATGGGGATGGCATGTGGAGAGCTGCATGCGGTAGCAAAGGACAGAACGACAGTGCGCGAATTAGTTAAAGACCCTTGCTCCACTGGAGGCTAGAAAGGCAGAGAATAGATATATCTTGAACTGGCAACAATTTTAGCGGCAGCAGTCCCTTCACACCATGATGTCGCGGATTATTCTGTTGTTCCATTATTTGTCACGTTTTGATTGCAATCTTATTTCCCATTCCCATCCTGTGCAATCGTTTCAATGGGATCAGTCCAGCATCTTCTGCATCTCTCATCGGCTCTCGTTGTAATGATTTTCTTGGAAGTCCTTGTCTCCTCGGTCCATCTGTTTAGGATTTCATTTTTGTGTTTGCTGAATCCATGTTCGTGTCTTCTCAAAATGAGTCATATATAGCGCCATCTACTTTGTGTGATTACTGTTGATACTATTTTTTGCTCAGACCTTTCTCTTATTTCTTTACTCCTCTTGAATTCATCCTATTTTATGTTTGTAATTTTTCTGCAAGCATGTGTTGTCGAGTGCATTTAACTGTCTTCCATATCTATAGTCTTCTTCTTCAATCATTTTATCAGTAAACGTATATCAGGAGGCCGGTAGGCTTTATGAAAGCTATTGTGCAAGTCATATCTACTCTTGCACCATACAGCTTTGGTTTCATTATGGTTGGAACAAGCAAGATGGTGTCTCTGTTGTCAGCATACAGTTGAAAGTGTTGGAGCAAATACTCAGCATTTTCGCATGCAACGCTGCAGGGAAACATCTCCGTGTTTCCTGCACCGAAATGTTTGAACAAATGTTGATGAAGTCTGTTGAGCCCTGTCCTTAGAAATATATTGTCCCTCTCTAGAAAGGCGATCAATCGAGTATTGAGGAGAGAATTTCGTGTGTGTATCCAGCCACCTTTCTTAGATACTAGAATTTATAATTATCTTAGTCTCTTGATGGGTTAAGTAACTCTTTTGATGAACCATATCAATGTTCGGTTTTTCTCATTGCCTTTCAAGACACAGTGACTTGGAATCCACTGCAGTACAGACTGCTCTACTCATGTGATTCTCCAACTTCACTGTGCATATCAAATTGTCTGAAAAGTTTCACTTGATCTGTGTATTCAAGTTTTCAATTGTCATGGGACCAAGAAATACACATTTATTCTCACTATGTTGGTTCCCAGGCACTATTGTGTGGAAAACAAGAATTAAACTAATGCCTGCCTACAAGCACGACGTAAGAGTCGATTAATTGGGAGTTTCCTTCAAAGTTTGAGTACATCTGCCTGAGTGGCGATAAACAAACAGTCTGTGTGCAAACGAGTCAGACATGTGAACGAATATGTACGCAACACTCCGTTTCTGGAAAAGGACTAGAGTCCAGAAATGGACAAACAACCAGAACTTTCCGTCAGAGTTTCCAGTTGGTGAATTCGAAAAAGAAGAAGAAGTAGAATTTACAATAATTCTCAAACGTTTAAACCCTTCATTTCGTGGGTTCTTTTCCAGATTCCATTGTCACACATTTCTGTCCTAAACAACATACCAAATGTGACTGGGTACTTTTCACTGTGTCAGTCATTATGTTAAATATGTTTTACATCTTATGTTAAGTGAGTGACTCTAAAGAACTCTAACAACAAGCATGTTTCTTGCAAGAACTGTACATTTGGCCCCTGCAAAAAAAGTATGCACATGAGTTTGATATTGTCATTTGTAACGCCCGACATTATATATGACTGTGCAGATCTGAGCAGGTTTCAATCTTGATTTGCTCATGGTGTTCATGTTATTCTTCACACAAAAAAAAAACAATTTCTGCAGCTTCCACTTAATTTGAAACTAATAACCGTGATTTACTTCTGTAGACATTTTAAAATATAGTTAGTTAATTAGTTAGTAAACTAGTAAGTAAGTTAATTTGTTAGTTAGTTAGGTAATTAGTTAGTTAATTAGTTAGGTAATTAGTCAGTTAATTAGGTAATTACTTTGTTAGTTTGTAGTTAGTAAATTAGTAGTAGTTAGTTAATTAGTTAGTAAACTAGTAAATTAGTTAATTAGTTAGTTAGTTAGATGATTAGTTAGTTAATTAGGTAATTAATTTTTCAGTTAGTAGTTAGTAAATTATTAGTAGTTAGTTAATTAGTTAGTAGCTAGGTAATTAGTTAGTTAGGTAATTAGTTAGTTAGTTAGTTAATTAGTTAGATAGTTATTTGAGTACTTAGTTAATTAGTTAGTTATTTAGTTACTTAGATAGCTAGTTACTTGGTTATTTAGGTAATTAGTTAGTTACTTACTTAGTGACTTAGGTACTTAGTTAATTAGTTACTTAGTTAGTTAGTTAGTTAGTTATTTAGTTAGTTACTTCTTAGTTACTAGGTAGTTAGTTTACTTACTTTGTTAGGTACTTTGATAGATAGTTACTTAGTCTAGATTATCCTCATTGTGCATTGAACTATTCAGTCGGTAAGTGCTCGGATGCCATCTATAGTAGTATGTCCCACAGCGTGTAGCGGCTCCCTTCATCATTTCTGTGTTGATTTATTATTATTCTTTGGCGTCCATGCATAGTGTTCTTGTCTAGCCGTAAAACTTTTTACATATATATTTAAAAAAAAATTGTTTAATGGTCTTTGATTTCTGCAGAATCTCAAAAATAATTATCAGTGATACAAAACAACATGGCAACAAAAATCGATATATGCCTACTAGGAGCCACCGTACTAGCTTTATGCTTTTCAGTTTTCAACGCCCTTCCCGAGTTCGCTGATGATGAAAACACAGATAAAAGGCGAGGTAGTGTGTCATTTTGTTGTTGTTTTAAAAAGTTCTCCACTATCAATGCAGACTGTCGTTGATGGAAGCAGCAGTATAACCGATCAGTAGTTGTACACGCAAATAATCGTATCAGGCAAAAGGATGCTTGCCATTTCTGAATTTGCACTTCAGATCACAATCCAGGCTGGGCACATTCAAAAAGCGTTCCAACTGGAATCGGCAGCTCACATAGTCACCTTGTTCATTCGCCTCAATAGTTGGAAGATGGAACTATACATTTTCAGTCTGCATATGGAGGAAAATGCGCCTGTTATCTATTAACAGTAGCCAAAACTTGTCACGACTTAAAAGAGTAAGCCTGTCTATTCACCATATGAAACGAAATAATATCCGACAATGTAAAATTGCAGTGTTATTTGTTGCTGCTTTTGTTCAGTGGTACTAGAAAATAAACATAAACGACCCTTTTCTACGGCTTTATGCTATAGGGCTTATAGGCATAACCTACATTTTTATATACCAACGGCACAAGATGGCTAATGTGGTCAGCATCACTCCTGCCGCCTTTACTTCACGGTGGTGCACCCGCTCTAGGAAATAAGATAATATTTGGAAAAAATACGTCCGGCTCCGGCAGGGATCAAACTCATGACCTTCCAAACCGTACGCGAGCGTCTAGTCGCTACGCCACGGCGAATCCCATTAGATTAATAACGCTAGACTAAAATTGTGTAGACTAATCAGCTCTTGATGGCTGCATCTGGTCAGCATCACACGGCCGTCTTTACTTCCCACGAATTTACTTGGTACCCGTTTTAGACTATGTCGAAAAAAGCAACCGCCAATTTTGGAAAACATTTCTGAATCGGTGTCTGTTTGTCAAGAACTTCTGAAATATTAATATAAACATCATTTTGCTTTTCATTTCAGGTCTGCCGAACTCAATTGAAGCCGGTGTGTAAACTTTAAACTTCTATTTTTTCCTTTTAAAAAAAAAAGGAAAAAAGTAGAGGTCCCTTTTCCACGCCTTTTGGCATATTGGGCATAAAGAGCAGATAGAGCTAGAAATATATTTTTTAAAGACCAATCGGCACAAGATTGGTGATATAGTCAGCATCACGCCGGCCGCCTTTACTTTCTGGGATTGCACCCAGTACCCACTCAAGGCTAGGTCGACCTGGGAATCAAGGATTCGCGAACTAGATGAGCCGGATTTTTTTTAAAAATGACTTTAAATCCCAGGTCAGCTGCACCTTGAGTGGGCACCAGGTGCAGTCCTGGGAACCAAAGGCGTCCGGCATGATGCTGTCCAAATCACCCACCAATTAGTGCCGATTGGTATATAAACATATAGGTCTAGCCCTATATTCTCATTCGCCTAAAGGCGTGGAAAAGGGTCCTTTAATTTACTGTATGCTATATAACTTTTTAGATACCTGCAATGTTTGACGGAAACTTTTTTTTTTAGCGAACTACTTTTTACGAAAGAATCAGATAATTACTTTTTTTTTCAGAAACATTATTATAGAACTACAGTAAGTTGTAATAGTAGTTACTGAGAGCCACTGCATACAACAGCGGCGTTCGTGGCTTAGGCGTTGCGTGTCCGATTTGTAATTCCAAAGTAGAGCGATCATAACCCACAGCGTGGAATTTCAATCAGGGTATGGGGTGTCGCAGGTCGACCCAGCCTAAAATGGGTACCAGGATGTAAGTCCTAGGGAAGTAAAGACGGCCGGCGTAATGCTGACCACATTACCAACCTAGTGCCGATTGGTATGTAAAAGTATGGGTGCTCTTCCCATATGCCCGATGCGCCTATAGGCGTGAAAAGCGATCTTTACTTTTTACCTTACTTTTACTGCATACGGCAGAAACAGATTTAGCGAACTGTTATCTTCTTTTCTCTATTCCTGGAATGCCTTGCAGCGTCAGAGCAAGAATAGATCTCTGGAAGGTGTCCTTCTGTTTGCTTCGTGTAAAGTACTTGTATCCTATACTTTCGTAGTCTATATTCGGCGTGGTCGACCTATGGCTCTGATACTATCTGTATAACCGTGTTCGTAAAGCAATGAAGAGATCTCGCGAGCTATTATATGTTCAAAAACAGCTTTGACAGCCTATTATATGTAACAAAGACAGTTTTAGCAAACAGATATATTCAACAGGGGAACCGTGTTGGTGTAGTGTATAGACGCTCGCCTGCACATCTAAACATCTTGGGTTCAAATCCGCTTGCAACCTGATTTTCTTGAAGCATGACCTTGACTCCCAGGTCGACCCAACCTTAAACAGGCCCCACGTAAAGTCCCGTGAGGTCAATGCGGCTTATTAGTCTACAAAATATAGGCTCAGCAATAAATGCTAAATAACCTAAAGTTGTGAACAAGGCTCCTGTACTTTTACTTTTATGTGTAACAGACACAGCTTTGACAAACTATATTACACAGACAGTTTTCGTGAAACTATTGCAGGCAACAAAAACAGTTTGTGTAAGATAAATTATTTTAAAAACTTTAATTACTGTATGAGAAAAAAATGATTAGACGAGTTTTCTATAGTATAAGTGAGAAATAATTATAATTTCTTTACCTTGTATTAGGGAAAAAATGATTATTATTTACTGTCTATGAAAGAAGCTTGTTTTAGAATATGTAGTTATTACCTACTTTCTATGAAAGAAACAGACATAGTTTCTTAAGGTTTTTTTTCAATAGGTGATCATTAATTAACTATTGTCTACGAAAAAAAGATTTTAGTTTCTTACGTTTGTTTTTGTTAATAACTACCATTTATGAAAGAAACACACATAGTTTCTTAAGCTTGTTTTATAATCGGTGATTATTAAATACTGACGTCGGAAAAGGGGTGGGGGGGGGGGGGATGTGGTTGACAAGTAAATCCCCTATTGTTCTGGAAACATCAGCTTTACTTAATTATTGACTACTATCCGGTACTTCGGTACTATTGACTGAAGATAATGCATGCTCCGACAATTGTCACTTTACATTGTTTGTTGAGTGGCGACATCGGTTATTTATGCTATATGACCTATGCCAAGTAAGCTTGATTCTAATTTCTTGTATATTCTACACATAAAATACGTTTTAATCATTAATATATATATATATATATATATATATATATATATATATATATATATATATATATATATATATATATATATATATATATATATATATATGTTTTTATTTTCAGTCGGATTTAACGGAAACGCTGTAACAGGCAAGACTAATTGAGTAGTTTGTATTGTGTTTTTTTTTTTAATTGTTTGTGGAAAATAACATAAAAGCAGTTACTAATAAACTACAAACATTCATTAACTGGTGCCTGCACACAAAAGAGGGAATTAAATGGTAAAATAGAGTCACTTTCTGAGAAAACTAAACAAGTTCCAGTGGCTCAAGAG